AAGGTAGACAGAAATTCAGCAAGGATGTAGAAGACTTTAACAATGCTATCAACCAACTTGATTTAATTGGCATCTATAGAACATTCCATCTAATAAACAGAATACACATTATTTCAAGTACCATGGAATAATCACCATATTTCATAACCTCGACCATGTTCTGGGCCATAAAATTCAACAAATGTTAAGTAATAGCAATCATACAAAGTTTGCTCTCAGAAATCATACAAAATTTGCTCTCTGACCACCACAGAATTAAGTTAGAAAACAATATACTTTATTGCTAAAAAATACTAATGATCATCTGAGCTTTCATTGAGTTATAATCTTTTTTGCTCGTGGAGGGTATCTTACCTCTGCGTTGATAGCTGCTTACTGATCAGGGTGGTGGCTGCTGAAGGTTGATGTGGCTGTGGCAATTTCTTAAAATAAGACAATGAAGTTTGCAAAGATAGCAATGTGTTAGGTCATTAAATAGGAATGTCCAATTTTGAACCAAAAATGTAGTTTATTATGTCTCAAACAAGAAGCGGTACAATTAATCAAACTATGTGTCTAAACTATCGACACAGGTTTGCCATCTTAACGGTAGCTTGCTTATGCCAGCAGTTAAGAAGCCTGGAGCATGAGTGGCAATGAAATCGTGAAAGGCATTTTCCACAGCTTGTTGAGAATTGAATATCTTTACTTGCAAGCAGTGGTCCAAAGCCTGGAATAAGTGGGAATCAGTTGGTGCGAGGTCTGGTGAATAGACAGTTTCCAAGTCCAGCTTCTGTAGTTTGAGCAGCGTTGTTTTTTGCAACATTTTGTCTTGCAAGAGGATTGGCCTATCTCTATTGACCAATCTTGGCTGCTTAATTGCAAGCATCATAATGATTTCATCCAATTGGTTGCAGTAGACATCCACTGTAATCAATTGACTGGGTTTCATGAAGCTGAGGCAGCGCTGGACCACCAAACAGACACCATTAGCTTTCTTTGGTGAATATTTGGTTTTGGTCTGTGTTTTGGCACTTCATCTTTATCCAACCATTGTGCTGAATGCTTGCAGTTGTAGAAAAGAATCTATCTTTCATCACAAGTAATAATATGGCGTAGAAATGGTTTGCCTTTATGTCGTGACAGCAAAGAAAGATAAGCTTTGAGAAGATTTCTCTCTGATGCTTGTGTAATTCATGTGGAACCCATCAATCCAGTTTCTTTACCTTGCCCATTTGTTTCAAATGGTCCAATATTGGAATAGGAATGTCAAACCTTGCTGCTAATTCATGCGTGGGTTGAGATGGATTCACTTCTACTACAGCTTTCAGCTCATCATTATCCACATTGGTCTTAGGTCACCCAGATGGCTCATTTTCAAGATTAAAATCACCAGAATGGAACTTCTCAAACCATCAACATACTATGTGTTCATTAGCCACATCCTTCCCAAACACTTTGTTGATATTTTGAGCTATCTGTGCTGTATTGGTTCCACAACGGAACTCATATTCAAAAATAACACAAATTTTTTACTTATCCATAGTTTCTTAAAAATTGCTCTAAAATATTTGAAAGATAATCATCAGTCAAAACATGCATGTGAAAGAATGAAGATATACCTTCACAATAAAAAAAAAAGTGTCAAAGTGAAATGTCAGAGATACCAAGCTTAGTACTTAAGGAAATTGAATATTCCATACTTAATAACCTAATATATGGCATGATTTGGGATTTTTTTTCAGATTCAGATTTCACCTCCCTGCTGAATTTATCAACATGGATATCTCCTAGTACCGCTTATTCATTAAGTGCCAAACCAAGGCTATTTCTCCCCCTACATAATTTTCTGCTTCTGTTCCCCTTCAAAAACACCTGCTCTTCCTTCTCTGATTCCTACTTTAGAGGTAATGTCACCAGCATGTATGTGGTCTCCCAGACTGGAAACATAAGTGTCATCTTTGATTCTTTTAATTCCCTCACTCCTTATATCACATCCAGTACCTTGCTATGAAATATTTGCTTGAATTTCAGTGGCTCTCTTATTCATATCCTTCTTTAAATTCCTGCAGAGACACTGGCTAATTTCAAGCTCCCTAAAGGAATACTATTACAGTCTCCTAATTGGTCTACCTGCCACAATTTTTAGGCGTTCTAAATCACACTTTATATAATTACCATTGTAACACAGAGCCCAAATTAGGCCACTCTCCTCCTCATAAATGCCTCTGAATCACTTGATAAAACCCAAACTTCTTTATATGGCTTTCAAGGCCCTACATAATTTGACTTCAATCCAGTCTCTCCACTTTCAACTTTCTACATAGCTTTCCTGAGCCAGCAGACAGTTCCATCAGCATCTCTGTGCTCTCATGCCTCTGTTCATACCATGTTTTCCCAAAAATAAGACAGGGTCTTATATTTATTTTTCCTCAAGAAGACAACATAGAGCTTATTTTCAGGGGATGTGTTATTTTCCCCTCAAAGCCTCAGCATGCAGCACGCACAGAATGGCCGGGACCTGACAGGGGAGCCAACTTTGTTGGTGGGGCTGCCCACACCTTTCCGGTCACCTCTGGGATAGTAGCTGTCAGGATGGGGCAGATGAGAAGGGCTGCTCGTCTTCTTTACTGCTCCGTGATGAAATGCATGGGTTGTGCAGATACGCTGCATAGCCACGCTTATCACTACGTCTTCTTTTCCAGATAGGGCTTACATTGCAAATGCTTAGAAATCCTGCTAGGACTTATTTTATGGGTAGGTCTTATTTTCAGGGAAACATGGTAGTATTTTCTCATTCACCAGCACCCTTCCTTCTCAAGGATTTTGCTCTATCCTTCAACACTCAGCTTTCATACCACCTATTTGTGGTGGTTTTCCTGATTCCTGAGTTTCCTCCTTCCCCCCACCTTTGCAATATGTGTGTCTCTGCCATAGTACTTATTCTTTTGTGTTAGAGTTGTTCATTTATGTATTTATAATAAATTCTCGAGAACAAGAATCTTACTTGTATTCTTGGCAGGACTGGTACCATATGTGCTCAATAAAATAGCCATGGGATCAACCTCCATCTCCTTTCTTTCTCTTTTTTTAAAGAAACTTTTTATTGTTATATAATAATCACACTATAGAAACCTATATAAAATGTATATGAAGAATTTAAATTATAGTTTTAAAAAATGTGCCCAGCTTAAGAAATAGGGCATCACCAGTATCTTTGAAGCCCCACATGCGTGTGTCTTCAGTCACGTGACCCTCCCCAGCACGCCCCAGAGATTGCCACTATCCCAAATTTTGTATTAATGATTTCCTCTATAGTTTTATTACATATTTGTATGTCTGAACAATAGTGTTTAGTTTCATATACCATATGTATTCTTCTCACTTGTTTTTTGTTCCTTCAACATTATATTTTGGAGATAAACCCATGTTGTGTGAAGCTATAGTTTATCAGTTTTCAGTGTTATAGGAAATTTCATTATACAAGTGAATGATATTTTATTTTCACATGTTACTGTTAATGAGCATTAATTGAGTTATTTACATTTGGGGTCTATTATGAACAGTGCTTCTGTATGCAGTCTTACAAATATCTCTCCTGGAGAACACATGCAGAAGTTTCTATAGAATACGTAACTAGAAATAGAATTGCAGGGGTGAAGGGTATCTGTATGTTTAGGTTAATCTGTAACGCCAAATCGTTGTCCAAAGTAACACCAGTGTGCACTCTCAGAAGTCTAAACAGAGCTTCCCTTACTCCAGACCTCATCAATGCTTGACATCGTAGAAGTTTTTAATTTTCACCAATCTAATAGGTATGAAATGGTATCCCTTGGTTTTAATTTTCATTTCCCTGATTATTAATGTGTTTTCTCATCTTTTCACATGTATTGCAATTTATGTTTCATCTTGTGTGAAATGCCCATTTCTGCCTTTAGCCCAGTTGTCTCAGCACCATCTAATCAATGGATCTTTGTTTCCTCACTGATCTGTGATGCCAGCTTTGCCATAAATCATGTTTTCATGTATGTGCAAAAGAATAGATAGTTCTCTGTTCTCACTCTTTGGTATGTTTGTCCATCTTGGGCCAATACAACACTATCTTTATAATCTTGGTATCATAGGTCCTTCTTACCCCTTCCTATGCCTGGGACATATCAGTGACACCCACTGGTACTATTTATTATTTTTTTAAAAAAGGTCTTGTAGAGGGATGATCTGGCTACTATGCCAGCTTTATTTTTTTTCATTTACAAATTGTAAAGTTCAGTTAGTTACCTTCTAACTTCCCCCGCTTCAAAGAGAAAACAAAATATTTTCTTTGACATTTATATTTTTAATTTGACATAGCCTGTATACCTATCATTATTCTGAAATAATTGAAGTAAAATAGGTACTTAAACACTATGTTTTTTATTCTTTCCTTCTATCCTATCCTTAAAGAATAAGTCAAAAGCCTTGCAATTTAAAATATATATATATTTTTATATTTCTAGGCAACCAAGAAGGTAAATTTTATTTTCCTAAGACTTGAAAATCCAGGCCTGGTACAGTGGCTCCTACCTATAATGATAGCACTTTGGAAGGCCAAGATAGGAGGGTCACTTGAGGCCAGAAATTTGAGGCCAGCCTAAGCAAGAAAGAGTGAGACCTGTCTCTACAAAAAAAATAGAAAAATTAACCAGGCGTCATGGTGCATGTCTCTAGTCCTAGCTACTTGGGAGGCTGAGGCAAGAGGATCACTTGAACCCAGGAATTTGATTGAGTTGCAGTGAGCTATGATGACATCACTGCACTCTAGCCGGGGGAACAGTGTAAGACCTATCACAAAAAAAAAAAAAAGAAAAAAATTCCGTGTAATGCCACGGTTCTCATTGTAAGTCCTGATCATCCATTTTAGCCGCGGTACCATTGCTCATTGTTCAGTATTCCTTAGTGCTCAGCACTTTCCTTTCCTGCTGAAGTGGAGTAGTTTCTCTGACTCATGGTAAACTTGTCGTATTTGTTGATTTTCCTTTCAGCCGCTGCCTGTGAGTTTTTGGATATCGTGGAGCTGCTGCTGCAGTCTGGCGCTGACCCTACTCTCCGAGACCAGGATGGCTGCCTGCCGGAAGAGGTGACAGGCTGCAAAGCAGTTTCCCTGGTGCTGCAGCGGCACACAGCTGGCAAAGCTTAATCAAAAGACTGGGAAACCACAGTCTGTAATAGTATAGGGCTTCAATTATGAAAGAAAACTGCAAAAATAATACTCTTTTACCACCCATGTTTGGTATGCATTGGCTAATAAAATCAGTTCTGAGGAACTGGGATTTTGAAGTCTCAGCAATTCATTCTACTTGCATACATTTTGGGGAGTACAGTTTTGGTGATGAACATGTGTACTATGCATAATATAATCCAATTCTGCTGAGCATGCTCTGAAATTTATCACTGCTTTACAGGGTGGGGAGAGGAGGGGACAGACCATATTTCACAATATTAAACAGGGCTGCTCTTTTGAAAAACATGCAAAAGTAAAATGTGACCAACAGCACTGTATTGACAGTTAGGTAGAGTTTCATGAAATCCCAGTATCTCATATCCCATGAGATCAAATGAGCTTGTAGCATTGTACAGCTGATCTGAATAGGTAGCTAAAATGTCTATTCTTTTGGCAGGTAGAATTGGAAAGACAGGAAAGAAGAGGGGTGTTAAGAAAAAGAAAGCAAAAGAGAGACAGGACGGAATTTTGTCACATAAGGGGTGTAGAAATCAGAATAACCAGATTTACTGAAAACCTCAAAACCTTGGGCATTTTAGAATAATATTCAGCAGCCTCACTCTAGCATTGAAACAGACGTGCAAGGATTCATCAGGGTTAGGTCAGAATTTTTTAAACTCACCTTCACAAAACAGGAGAGGAATTTCTTTAGGGCCCTTTCAATTGGCATGTGTAGTGGCAATCTCTGTAAGAAAGCTCAGGCCTGACCTGTTAGGCCTATTTGGGTCTGTCTAATGTGTTATTGTTGAAGTTATTTCTGGATACCAGAAGAGCTTCTTGTTTTTACTAAAAATGTAGACATGTATGCCACTCTTGAAACTGGCTCCCAACAATTTCCTCCTGTATGCCACAAGAACTCCATCTAAGAATTCCCTGACACTTATTATATAAGAAAAGTAAATCGTTGTCACAGAAAGAGAAGTGAAACAAGAAATGAGTTGAGATGCAAAGATAACTGCTTAAAAGATAATAATTTTCCTGACAAATGTTACTATTAAGGTAACAAGTAATCCTAGCACTTTTGGAGGCTAAGGCGGGAGGACTGCTTGAGGCCAGGAGTATGAGACTAACTAGCCTGAGCAAGAGCAAGACCCTGTCTCTGCAAAAACATAGGAAAAGTAGCCAGGCGTTGCCTCTAGTCCCAGCTACTCAGGGGATAGGGGTGGCAGGGGGTACTGAGGCAGGAGGATCTCCTAAGCCCAGCAGGGAGGTATGATGACACTGCACTCTAGCCCAGGTGACAGGAAGACCCAGTCTCAAAAAAAAAAAAAAAAAAAAAGATAACAAGTAATAAACTTGTTTAGTGGAGCCCTCAACAGGAACAAGATTTTCATTAGCTTAAACTAACCTGTCCTTCTGGAACAAGCCCTTCCGTAACAAAAACAAGGCATAGTAATACTGTTTATTTTGTGTTTTTTATTTTTCTATCCTAACTTCTTATTTTCTAAGATATAAAGCAAGACTATTCATCTTTGAAATAATTATCTGTGGAAGTGATATGCATGTTAGTGTACATACTGAAATGTTACTGTAATTCTAGTAGAGCATTCTCTTCATTATCTGTTTTTTCACCATAATCTTAGCTACATTGCAACCTATTGTTTAGCTAAACACTCTCATGTTCCACATTAATTGAGAATTAATGTGGAATTAATGTATTTTAAGAAACATACATTAGTTATAATAAAGTGACCAAGGTATTGCATGTAGTTTTAATTGATATTACTTTGCATTTAAGACATTAGCATATCAAAAATTATTTATTCATTTCAAATTTGCAGAACAGTTATCTGAGCAAGAAGCTATCAGGGAACTCTTTTCTTTCATCTCCCTTTTGCAATTTGAACTTGATATTTCATAGACAAGTTTTTATTACCTGTTTTTCCACATCTAAAGCTATGCGCCGGTGTTTGTTAAGCAAAGACTATAACCTATTTTTATTAATTTTATTTTAAAAGTTTCAAATTTATATTCAAAGCTATCACTACAGCTGTGAACTTAACATTTTCAAGTGCATTGTAAAAATCAGTTTCCAAAATCTCTATTCTCTTGTCATCCGTATCTGAATTTTCATTTTATTTTTATTTTCCCCAAAATTCATATATTGAAATCAGTATCTGAATTTTCAAAAACCTTACTATCATATAATACTCCATGGATCATCTCCCTGTGCTTTAAGGCACTGCTCTAGGCCAGTGTCTTTCAAAAAGTCTCTTTGAAAGTCATGAATTACCAATCAGAAACTAACTAAATCTTTTAAACCTATTATAATTAAGTCTATTATAATTAAGATATAAGAAGTCAACCAACTAGCCACATCTTATTCTGTCTTACGCTTGTCAGGTAGAAAGGTAACAACCAAGGTATAGTATCTGGAATTATATCTAGTATATCTTTTTTAATGTTTCAGCATTTTCCAGCTAAAAGGTTGCTGTAATCCAGTGAACCTTTCTATTAATATTAAATAGATATTTCTTAGCTTCCTGCCAGGTTTAACCACTTGGCTATGGGTTATTACTCCATGTACAATGCAGCATCTCTGAGATTAATGAACAACTTGTTTGACAGTGGCAGAGCTGAGCTTGGGTTGCAGAAGTGTTTAGTGTCTAGGCAAATATATGCTTCAGTTGAACTTAAAGACTTTAAAGTGTTTTTTTTTAAGTTGAAACATGAAAGCTTTTACCAAACTAAAGCTTTTACCAAGACCTAACAATTCCTCTTTATAAATAAATGTTTATCATAAAACATAGGTATATAATATAGGTATATAACCCACTAGCTACAATTTAGTAATGAAAATAATTGAGTTTAAATATTTATGAGTGAATTTCAAATCCTATTCCTAAGGTCATTTGGGTCAAATGTTTTCCTAGTAGTTATAACACTATATTTGAGCAATTCTAAAATGTACATTTTTTCACATTCTAACATATCCAAAATTGGATATCTTTTACAAGCAATGGCATCTCATAGTTGAATTGGCAGCAATTTTTTCTTAGTGATACATAAACGAATGTGTCTTACAATCAATGATATCTTAGCTTCAATGAAATAACAGCAATTACACCTTACATTTGTATAGGGCTTTATACACAAGCATCTTAATTGAACCGCAGAATAATTGTAAAAGTAGAAATCATTCACATTTTCTTTATTTTATAAATAAGGGAACTGAAGCTCAGAACTGCTGGGGAAATTATCCAAGGTCATACAAATAGAAGCAGTGAATGCCCACTTTTTTATATAAACTTTATTATATATTAATATAAAGCACTTCAGCATACATGATCTTATTTATTCAGAATCAGGGTGATTATCCAAGCCTTTTGATGCCAAGTCCAAAAGATTTCCCTGAACTACATTTATCAGAATAAGCAAAAGCAACCACATTCAGTGGTGCATTATTGGGCCTCTTGGTAGCTCGATAATGCCTCCTTTATATATATACATTGAGCTTTCTTTTTATAATGTAGACCTTAATACAGTCTTTTGTAATCATGTGATTTGAAAATAACGATCATTATTAAAGCTTTACCTTGAGAATCTTTAATTACTTCAGTAATTATTCACAATACCTTCACCAGACAAATTTTGGGTCCATGTATAGTGATTATCAGACTCAAGAAACAAATATGCTTCCTTGATATATTTATCAGTAAATGTTTATTATGCATGAAATATGATTAGCTTTTCAAATATGTATTAAAATTGGCTTTGCACTAAAGGATCAAATAGGTAAAGCTATTTAACCTCATATTTATTCACTTACCCCTGAAATATTCTTGTCATGCTCCTCCCTAAAAATAGGCATGATCTTTGTATGGATCACAGTAGTTATTAAGAGTTCATAGCTTATTTCTTAGTACAGATTGAGTGTCCATTTTCCAAAATGCTTGGGACCAGAAGTGGTTCCAATTTCTGAGTTTTTCAGATTTTGGAATATTTGCATTATATATTTAACAAGCTGAGCATCCCAAATCCAAAGTGCTCCCATGAACATTTCTTTTGAGTGTCATGTTGGCACTCAGAAAGTTTTGGATTTTGGAGCAGTTTAGATCTCAGATTTTGGATTAGAGATACTCAACCTATATTTTTACTTTTATACATGAACTCTTCAAAACTTTCTTTCCCGTGTTTTATCACTTTTTCTTGGCACAATTACAGAATACACATCATTATATTTTTTGTTCTCTTCTTTTGGGATGCATGTACAGGAGTCACCTCTGAGGATACTATTCCTTCCTCCAGCGATGCAAGCTTCTTGGCCCTAAAAACCAGGTCAAGGTGTTCACAAGTTACACGCTAGTTTGTACTCAGAACAAAATCTTCCTTTCTGGTTTTCTCCCTATGTGTCTTAGAAGGAATGAACAGGAGTTAGCAATACAACACTGAGGTTAAAATCCATATGGGAAACAGGAGGAGCTGCCCACCCAACACACTTTTGTCTCTTGGTGGAACTCTAGACACTTAGGGTGAGTTTCTTGCATAAGTGGGGAAAAAGACCCATTGGAACCTAAAACAACTGGATGCAGTGGCTGAACATAAGGGACCATGAGGGCACTAAGGAATAGAGAGGTGACTTACAATGTGCCGCCGTAGACAGCAGCAACAAATTCATCATCCACTGCAGCCAGGATTTATTTTTCCCCTCACTTGTATAGCGATCCTGGTTTCCATTTTAATATTTAGAAGGTAAGTTCAGTTGATGGACACTTTGTGTAATAAAAAGCTCTTTTAAAGTACGTGCACATGCACACACGCAGGATAAAAAGTGGCACCACTAGTGCCCATGGCTTTCATGGAGTACATTTGTGGAGCCCAAAGCTTAGTCCTGGATATGTTTATAGCACTTTAGCTCCGTTTGTGAGTTTGGAACCCTTCCAAAAAAAGAAGAGAAAGACATATATTATTGTTTATAATCTGCTTTATTCCGCCAAACCTTGACTGAACAGACTTGTGGATTGCTGTTTAAATCCCTCAGTGCCTTTAACTACTGCCACAGAAAGTGGTTAATGCGCATGCTAAACGAAGCTTGGCATACACTCCAGG